GGGGGGATGGAGACAGTCGTGACAACAACTGAAGGCAAAGAGACGCAGAGGGAGAAAAGCCTGTGAAATGGCAAAATATCAGAGTGTGTGTTAAAAGAACTTGGCGTACCTTTGTCTTTGCTTTTCTCTTTTGCGAGCGAGTCCAACTTCCTTCTCAGCGACTTTTTCCTCTTCTGTCCATCTGCACATGGGGGAAAAAAGGGCCAAAATAAATCACCTGAAACAAACGATTCCCATATCTGCTCTTTCTTATCTGGATTATTATATTTAATAAGCTTATGTCAGGAATGCAGACATGAATTAACTTCTGTGGTGGGGGAGGGAGGTGAGGTATCCATGCAGTCAAATCCATTTAATGGAGCTGTCAGACAGGGTCAGCAACAGTAGTAGTCAGCACAGGAAAAAATGACTGTGAAAACACATTAAATCACTTATAGTTTTTATCTAAATTACCAAGTATATGTAAGGCTTTTCTTACCTCAGACAGCAGTACATGTCACAGCACCATATATGGACGCATATACACATTCTTAGCCTGGTTTATCTTAATAAAAACCCTTTTCTGCATTAAGAGCACAGCATTGCCCCCCATTCACTGCATTTACTTTCATAGTGATCTTTAGAGAAGCAGCTGATGGGCTTTAAATTAAAAATAAAAAAATCTCCATCCTAAAAAGGACATCAATGTCCACATGTGAGCTTTCCATCGAGGTATTTGACTGCAATTCTTTGAAAAGAGGAAGCCGTTTTGTCGGCCGTCAACATGTTGAATGGCTCCTGAATTTGTTGACTGATGATCAGGAAACTGTGGAAGCTGCGCCATGTGAGACTTGAAAGTCTTGGGATCCTCATCTTGTGGCGAGGAATGTCAGTTTTGTGGAAACCTCAGCAACTTTTAATGTTATCGTTCTGTCACTCTGCTATAAAAACGCAGTCCTTTTAACACGTGAGATCTTTCTGGGCTAATTCGCGGAGCCTCGATCGGCTGGTGTAGCAACCTCGGTTTGAACCGCAGATGTTCCCTTACAGCTGTGTCAAATGAGTCACTTGGAGGGGAGATGAGGGAACTGCATCCAGTGCACATAATGTGCTTGATGGTGGTGCTGGCAGCTTATGTCAGGTTTCTGATTCATTTAACCTGGCCTGAAACTTTAAGCGCAGCAGAAGCACGAAGTCTAGGAGAAAAGTAGGTGAAAACAGTGAGGGGCGTGAGACACCGCGAGAAAGAAAGCAGATGTTGTGATTGAAAGCGGGGGCAGCAAGAGTGAGAAGGGAGAGGAAGACAGAGGAAATGGTTTGGATTTCTGACAGATGATTTCCAAAAGCCTTGCGGAAATCCCCCCGAAAACGGCACACTCCTCTCCTCAGCTCGCAGCCAGTTGTGAAGTCGTACGATGAACCTTTGCTGGCTTTTTCTCATCCCATCCCTCCTCGTCTTCCCAGCTTCTGTCTTCCTTTAATCCTCTCCTCGTTCTCGAAGAAACCCTAGAAACACGAGCCCTGCCTCTCGGATAAATATCAGACTCAAAACGCACGTTATAGCGGAGCCGAAATAGCGATCGGACGCGCACACAAAATCTCACACAGTTGAAATATTTCTCTTGCTTCCACATGGCGGCCGTCAGGGGCTCTGGAATTCATAAGCAACGCAGACAAGTACGTATTAAATCATGCTGGGGAGAGGTTTAACCTTCAGCTGGAATGCAAGCCCCGGATAATCCACTCACTGCACTATAGTGCTGCTACGGCACCCACTCAACTGATATAGTGCACAATGCTACCCTCACTGTGCCCCTTTGTGCACCTTAGCTTGTAGCAGAAACCGATTCAAAATTCTGATATCATATGATATTGTAAGTTTTAGCTGTTATTTTTATTGATTATTACCTTGCAAGACTAAAGTAACTGTAAAGAACAGCAGAATGCAAAAAAAAAAAGTGCTAGCTGCCCCAAAAAGAGTCAACTAAGAAATTGACCATTACAAGGTCAATTTTAACATGTGTCGTTTGCATGAGTTAATATGCAAGTTGATGAAACTGAAAGACGAATGGCTTCTTAATTGGGTAATCGTGGTGCCCGTGATACTAAAAAAAGATGATAAAGCAGGGTTGAATTTAGGGACTCGATACTTTGTGGTTTGTAAGACCTTCCGTATACGTGAGTAACACGACTACTTTAAAAACATTAACAGACCAACTGTTAAAAGACTTTGCCCAATCTTTCAAGGAGAGCCTTGACGAATTAGTGGGTGAGGTCATGAAAGCTGCGTTCATGTTATGCAGCCATGTGAAAAATAACATTCAGTGTTGTGAAAAACTAAGCCCAACCCATGATCCAGTAGCTTGTAGAACCAACTTCAGTAGCAATAACTTGAATTAATTATTTTTTGTACATTATCAGAATCTTGGATCACTCCTGGCAAAACCTTGATTCTTTTCTTTTTCAGAATCTGCTGTAGATTTGGGATCATTGACCTGTTGAATGATTCAATTTCAGTCGAGCTTCAGCCTTCGGACACATGGCCTCTAGAATATGCAGAGAAGTTCATGGTGAGCATAATGACTGCAAGGTGCTCAGAACCCGTGGCTGCAATAGGCAACATAGGATGAATTTGCTTTGATATTCACTCCTGGGAAGATCGTGGCATTATATTAACACATGCTTGAATGCTAAAACTGCTTAAACGTCTGCTTTTATAGAGGGCTTGATGATGATCAGTTAAGCCAGGGGTGTCCAACTCCAGGCCTCGAGAGCCAGTGGGTTTTAGATGTGTCCTTGATCCAACACAGCTGATTTAAAGGCTAAATTACCTTCTCAACATGTCTTGAAGTTCACCAGAAACCTGGTAATGAACTGATCATTTGATTCAGGTGTGTTGACCCAGGGTGATATCTAAAACCTGCAGGACACCAGCCCTTGAGGCCTGGAGTTGGACACCCCTGAGTTAAGCAAATGCATCTAATTAGCAGCACCTGGATGCCACTTCTCCACTTAATTCCTATGGAAACAGTAAGGGTGTACCTAGTTTTAACAGGACTGCATATCTGTGTGTTTCTTAACTCCAGACTGATCGACTTCAGGACTACAGAGCTAAAATTACATCACTGAAGTCCACTTTTAAAAATTCAGTAAGCGTTTACATTTATTAAAATTTGCAAACTTATCTTCCTAAATTGGGTGGGATTATATTTGTTTTCTCTGATATCTAAAAACTGATGCACGTGGACATTTTTAGGTTGGGCGAGACCAGTGGAAAACCACCAACTCCAGCAGTCTCACTGCAGTGCTCTGTCCGTGTTCGGAAAATGAGAAAATTTGACAAATTAATCCAAGTTTAGCAAAAGCCTAATTATCTGGTATACAAGAGCAAAACACGGAACAATAAGGTCAACTATATCACTCTTGTGCACACCCTAAGACTTTTTAAATAGCATTTACAGTGGCTGCACTTGGCCTCTGCCACAGCGGAAAGGGAGTTTCATGTCGTTATGAGGACGGGAGGTCAACAGATACCAAGGCGAACAGGAAGCAACCAATCCCTATGTGAAGTAAGGCTTATATCTTTCGTGTGTTGTCACAACTTCCCCAAACATAGACCATACACGACTTCCCTTCAATACACTTGAGGGATGACAAGGGGATGTGGTCAGGGACTTGAGCATTGGCTGTACTTTATGGAACAATTAAAGATATCTGGACAAGCTTGCACTACAAACCCAGGTCAAGCATATCAGTTTGTAGCGCATGTAACACAGAAGAGTCCTGGAGGCAATAACACATGCATTTGGTTTGGTAACAGTCATATAACTGTCAGGTTCTCAAAACCCTGATGTTATCCAAAGCACTTTGTTAGCTCTGAATGGGTTGGATATACTGATTTAAACATAAAAATGATTTGACGCTGTTTAACTCAAGTCTACAGTATGCATTAAAAAGAACAAAACAATCCCCACCTTTTGGCATGGTTATCTGACATCCCAAGTCATAGTCCTGGTGTAAACGGGAGAAGGCCACTTCCTGTAGCCGGGCCCTCTCCAGCTCTGACAGGCTTTGGATGGCAACTGGCATCAGACGCACGCTCCGCCCCGACAGGCTGCTCCAGGTGAAATCCCCCTGGGAAGGACAAGTGAGACAAAACTTATACCAAAAGGAATATTAACAGTATGGGAACATGGAACCATTTCATGTCATTTTACATTGCATTGCTGATTTTTATCGGTTTTCATATAATTTTCCAATTTTCAATTTTTATGTTGCAAGTCCAGGTCAGAGAAGTTACGACATAAGTTATCATATGGTTAGGATTAGGGCTGCGGTTGGGGGTTAAACGCCATCCTGTCAGCATCTATGTGTATCGAATATGGTTCCTTGTCAGGTAACTCGATTGTTGATCGAACCCTCCACTGACAATCCTGTTCTTAACTTTATTCACTTTCCATATAATGTTTTCATATGATAGGAGATACAGGTGAATCAAGCAGTCAGCTCAGTGGCTGCATGCCTTTTCTCCTGTCTTCCTCTCCTCCTTCCTATTAAAAGGGAGTTTTTCCTTCCACCTGTCACCGAGCGCTTGCTCAAAAGAGGTTGCCTGATTGTTGAAGTTTTCTCTGTATTACTATAGGCTCTTTACCCTACAATATAAAGCACAGATTGTTTTGGTGATTTGGTGCTATATAAATAAAATTGCATCGTTAAAATATCTTCTATAATTTTGGTGCGCTCCATGTCTGCTTCCACCTCGCTAATTTTGCCAACTAACACTCACTTCACCGGGTTTTCCTCTCCTGCTTTACAAAGCACACTTTAGCAATGCAAAACAGAGCTGTTCTTCTTTGATGTGGTCAGCCAACTTGTGATGAAGTCGGGCTCTCAGACGCAAAGAGCCAGGCAGCGGCAAGCTGCAGAAAAGAAGCAGAGGTGTGAGGTGTGGACTAATTTGTAGATTTACAGAAGGTTTTAATCTATTCCAGGTGAAGGATGTCTAAAACCTTTTTACTTGGGTAAAATGTCTTGATCCCTGATTGCGTATGGAAATAATTAAGTCTTATGGGACTTAAGTTTATTTAGCACCAAATGTTTAAAAACGAATGAACATGAAGCTGATTAAACCTACTGTACTGCTGATGTAGCCTACAAAGACGAATAAAGACATTACGTGCTTTGGAAGACTCTCCTCTATTCTAGTTCTAAGGAGCAATTGGGGACATCTTAAGCTGGCCCTATATTGATGGATCTACAATATGTGCCCTGGATTCAAAATGAGCATATTTACCTTCCAGGTTGGGCTTTATCTGTGATCGGGATGAAACTGAACTGATGTAAAACGTAATTAAATACTGGAGATTCTGAGACAGCATTGGTTTTGAACGTTTCAGCCATCTGAATCTCTATTCATGCATTCCTGTGTGTCAATTTACCTAATGCCTTAACCAGACTGAGGGCTTAACAGTGTGTAATGTGTCTGCATTTATGCAGGAATTTTCTTTTTCTTATTAGATCCCTGTTTAAATTTTCATCTGATTGATGTTTACGCATGGTATGTAGAAGAAAAATGAGACACCATGAAGACTTTTCATATTTGGGCCTCTATCAACAATATTTTCCTGAAGCCATTCAACCCTCCCTGCTGTCAGCTTGCTTGTTATTTGACCCCAGTCAGTGCAGTGAGGCAACAGAGCCATCATTCAGCCATGGAAGGAAAACATGATGTGGATACAGGCAACCTGGAGAGCCAAATGACTTTGTGTGCGAGTGAGCGAGTGAAGCGAGTTGCATGTTGCCCCCCTTTCAGAAAGCATTTTATCCAGCACAGCTGTTCTGCATATTTTTTGTCAGTGCACGCCTGTGTACCGCCATTCCTTATCGCTGACTGAGGGAACCCTTTTTCAGCCCGCTTCACTTCAGAGGGCGCACACATACAACAAAAGAATAGACAAGCTGTTGGAACGATGTTGTAAAAAAAAGTAAAGAAAAGGCCTGTCCTTGGTCGAGCTGGTTCTGCTCAGCGGGATCACTGAACAAGACGGATGAGCTTCGGCTCTTAAGTGTCGAGCTATGAAAACTGTGGAATGTTGACAGAAGAGCCGAGGGAGGGAGACCAAGTCCTGCTATCACTGCTGGACTCTGGTTTATACCTTTGAATGAATGACACACAGGCCGTCAGCTCACTGTTACCAAAGTTGCCTTGTACAATTCAAATCTTAAATAAGGTAATATGTTGTGTATGTACATTTATAGTAGTAAAAGTACATTATATGGCTGTATTATCTTCCAATATTAGCGCTATTAGCCAATTCATCGGTATCACGTTTATAACAGCCCAATAGCTAAAGAAAAAAGAGACAAAATAAACACTGTTGAACTTTGTTTTGAGCAAATCTCTCTAAATTTGTATTTAATATTCGTTGTAGAAAATTAAGATTTTAACTTTAAAACACACACTGGGTTTAGGGAGTTTTGGTCTTCAAACCATGACAGTAGATGTAGTGATCCTAATCAAGAGAATATGTCAGTGAAAGTTATTATTCTTTGCAGAATATGAATTCCACATTGACCACATTTGACCATATTATTTCCTATTAAGCTGAACATGCATGAATGACACGTGCAATAGAGGCTAGTAAAATGCAACGCCGGCACGCCAAAATATGCTCAGAAAATAGCAAAGTTACACAATAGTGTTGTTCAATAGTGTTGCACACAGGACAGGACAATCTGTCCAACACTTTGCTCAAAGAATTCAAGATTGCAGAAGACATGCTTACTTCATAATACGCTAATACTTGTAAGAGTGTAAACGAGTAAGTAAATAACTATAAATAACAAATATAAATCTGTTTGTTTAATGTGTCCAAAAGAAAAAAAAACATAGTAACTGTGCGTTGAATTTTCTTACCATCTACATCATTAAAAAACTTTCTTTTTAACCATAATTCCAACTTGATGCTCTGGCTCATGGTTGGCCACTCTTCTGGCCAACAGTGATTGAATATGTCCCAACCAAAACTGGTGCACCAGCATCAATTCTATCTATTTACACTGCATGTTTCTTTAAATTAATAGTAACTTTAAATTATTTTAGTATTTTCCATGCTTAAATAACATTGAGGTAAAGGAATACCAATTCCTTGGTGATGATATTCATCCATCTGATATCCATCTGTAGAATAGTAAGTCCATTCAGGGCACAAAAATCCAAGAAAAAAAGCTCAATGTTTACGTCAGTTATTACCCCTCCCTGTTGTGCACCAAAGTCTGCTAATTATTGAAAAAAAAAAGATACAACATTTTTTTTCACATTAGTGTTCAACCATAAAGAGCAAAAAATACTGGGTTGGAATCCATTTTGGCCTTAATGAGCCAGCACCAAGTTTAACCAAATCAGACATCCAACTGGACATCAGAGCAACAGACATAAGTAACAGCCATAGTTTTTGCATGTAAAAGTCAAGCTCAGGGGATATCATTACACCAATTTCCAGCCTTCCTATTATACTTACCATTTAGTCAAACTTGCAAAAACAGCGGCTGGACACGTGTTGGCAATTTGCCTGAGTTACAGCAGTCAGTCTGAGTCAGACCACAATTGTTTGGAGACAGGTGCCTCCCACCAGACAACCTTGGCAATCACCTTTTAGTCTAGCATGACTGAATCATGAGCAGCTTTAGCCTGTGCACAGCTGATGCAAGCCACTTTGCAAGCCACCTCTTACCCCAGCTCCTTCTTTCATGCTGGCTTGTATTGTAAAGCCTCCAATTGGCTGTTTGCTGGAATGGCTGGGCAGATCTAATCAGATAATTTAAAGTGTAACAGGTGCTATTTACTACTTTGTTGTTGTTGTTGTTTCAGCAGAAATGACTGAATATATTATGTGAAGGAAGAAGAAAGACCAGGATTAATATGAGACCAAGCATCAAGAGATTTTTAAGCGTGCAGGCCTTAGTTTAACCCTTCTGTTACGGACTGGATTCAGCAAATGCTATGCTGACAGATTTTACCCTGGAAAGATTAATGACTCTGCTGACTGGGCCGTCACTATGCAGTTAGATGACTAATACCATTTGGACATACACTGAACTGCAGCATGTGGTTTCTGTTCTATTTTAGACAATGGGACAAATGGTGCAAAAGCCTCAGGCAATAGACTATGTCAGTTTCCTTGGCAACACATACATACAGAACTCAAAAGAGCCAGGAAGTGAGAGAAATATTACTATGGTAACGCACCTGGAAGATACACACACGCACTCAGGCACTGGAACACTTGTTGCTATGATGCACTGCGTAAATCATTAGATGCCGTGACCATGGTGAAACAGTTATGATAACCCTGCAAATGTGCACTCACAATGTGATGTTAATTAAATACATCATGAAAGTTATACAGAATGTGTAAAGGTATGTTTAGTGGCACATAACATAAAGACTGGGGTTATAATAAGTCATGCTCTACTGGATTGTTTTTGCATTACTGGATCATTTTGGTCATTATACATTCCTATAATTTACTAAATAATACACAACATGATTTGCTTTTTGCTCAGTCTAGTATTTACCACAACCAAACATCACTTGGACCAGACCACAGGTACTTTTGGTGACTCATTCTAGGTTTTTTTTATTTTGTTGGGGGGGGGTCAAAGAAAATATGTCTCACAGAATTCTGTCATCTGTGATCCATTTACTACAGGACAATCCCCTAACTCCCATTTGTTGGTCTCACTTTGCAAAATCAGGGCATAGTCACGTGCTAGGTTGCTGTTGTTGTGGTGGATTTAAAACTGGATTCAGTTGCTTCCCCAGACAGGATCTTATTCCGCCATTGGACAGACTCCCCTTCCATTAAATGGCCACTGTAAGCAGAACCAGGGCTGCTATCATCAGCTCCGACACTAGAGTTCAGAGACTCACTGGAGAAACACATTTTTAAATTATATCATTAATAAGAATTGTGTGTGTCCCTGGATACATGCACGAGTGCACGCAGAATCTGAGCACTGCAACTCCACCTACAATACCACAGAGGCATCAGTGTGACCATTCTTGGCCTCAAGCAAGTGGCATTACAAAAACTGCTGTAGCTTTGTTTGTTTTTTTTCATTGGTTTCCCATT